TGCAGAACCAATTACTATTCAACATTCAATTGAAAACCGCTCTCAAACAAAACGTACTTATCGTCATCGGAAAAAAGAAAAAGAAAAATTGCTTTCTAAACTGCTCTTAAGCTGTAGAGCCCCAAAAGCAGGTTGTTCGAAAAGTTTAGTTTTAAAAGCTCTTCTTTGGACTATTGTTCTGATATTTTTACTGTATGTCTGTTTTGTTTCCTCAACAGTAAGCTGTTCTCCTTCAAATCGAAATCTTCTGTCATGGAATCCCCATCAGGTTCACAGAGTTCTTCCACAAGCTCTGCTGCAAAGATAAGAGTCTTGAATCACAAGAACTACAAAACATGGAAGGTACGAATTACGAGTACTTACTCTTGAACACGCCCTTTAGACACGCTTTGGTAGCAAATCAGGAGGACTTTGATCAAAACATAGTCTAATCGTATTTTAAGAAATACTCAGCTAGACCACGCTGAGGAGCGCCAGAAAGGTACGATTCGCAGTGCGCGTGAAATACCACTGTCCGATTTTCCAGGACAAAAATAAATTTGATTCGGACAGGAGCAAAACCTTGAAATGAATACAAATAGAAACATAAAATGGATAAAAAAAACTTAGAAGAAAAAACTACCTCATCAAACTTAGATCAAAGGTCCGGTGTTATCAGGCCAGCGGCTTGATACTACAGGAAATCATGTTCAGGGAAGAAAAATCTGACGTAAGTTATTTTGCTTAATATTTTTAAAGTTTCTACACATGATAATAAGTTAAAAGCATTTCAAGTGGAAACTTGTGATATGAGTTGTCACGCTACGTAGCTGGCGAGATTTTGCGCAAGAATATTTTGTTTCGGCGTGGAGCCGCGTAACCAAGTAATTGAGCAAAAAATGCGAGCGAATTTCGTGAGTGATGCATATGAGACTGTGACAGAGAGATCGCTCCAAACTTACCACTATTTTCCGTTCTCCCAGTTCTGAATTTAGCAGCGGCCATACGTTTACTGAGAATTTGCCCAAAGATAGTGCTGAAAGCTCAAGCCATGTCTTCATAGACACCTTTTTTTCAAAACAGGAGCTTCAGAAGGATACTAAGATGAAGAAAACGCAAGGAATCAGGCCACGTGACGTGTTACAAGGCTTGCAGGCCATTCGAGATATTTATAATTTGCCTCGCATTCCTGTTGATCCAGAAGGTGGATGTCTCTGCTATTACTGTGAAAAGCACATCAAGAGAGCAAGACGGGAGAAGTTTTTCAAACTGTCCAGGTACTTTTGTATTATAGCTTTTCTGTTTTAAATTATTGTAGTGATTCAAGATCAGTCATCACAGTGCTTTAATTTTAATGTCAAACAGTTCGAGCTCGGAGCAAACATCGTAAATCTGAAACAAGTATAGTTAGCGTAATAACTTACTAATTACTTACTTAGTGCAGATACACACACACAAAAGATGTACTTATATGGGCTATTTCGATATGTGAAGCCCCAAAAAGGTCTGGTCTTTAGCCGTTTTGATCAGAAATAGGCTACTCAAGTAGGTTTTTGCATTCTGGGTATGTTTTTTGGAAGAAGCTATCCTACCTATTAAAAACATATGAGCATAACATTGGTCTAAACTAGGAAAGTAATAATAAGATAGATTTAAAACAAAGTATTGATTTAAGGGTCAAATCTTAAATAGAGTATCGAATTTTTGGTCAAGTCATATAAACTGCGAAGGGAATATTGCAGATTTTGGTCTTAAAAATGGTAAGGGTTTTGGGAAGCAGGCTGCACACCCCCACCCATTTTGAGAGTACCCCTATCCTGGAGGCTCGCCCGGCTAATTTGTGTTTGTTAGACTGTAACACCTCATAGCAGGTTTATTAACTGGCCGTTACCTTTTTTTTTTTCTTTTTTTTTTCAGATTTGACAGCTAAATGACTGGTGCTTGCTATGCGAACACAGTTAGATATTATTGTTCAATGGACGCGCATCTTTGTCGACGAAGAGTATTTTCATATTTCACCATTTATTTTCTGTAACAAACGTTTCGTCTTAACAGTGTAAATGTAAATAGTAACGGAAACATGAGATGTAGATACATTCCATTGTCTGGAAAAGTGTGCAATAATAAATGTTGATTTTATTTTTAATTTGCTGAGGAAAACGATCTGTTTTAGATATTTTTCTCCTGGAGTTCATTATCCACTATTATCATATGGCTCTGTCTCACAAGGACTGGGAACAACCAAATTCACGAATTTGATTGGCTGAAATCGATATTGAAAGTGGTGTAGATTTTCCCATCTAGAGCGGTATCTAGACCGGTAACGTTTTGTCGTAAAAAAGTTAAAATGCAAAATCATTGTCTATTTTCTTCTAACAATATTTATTTATGGAAGTGCCAAAAAGACTGATGAGAAAAAAAGTACAGAGGATGAGCAATCTTTGGCAGGATTTAGTTCAGCTCATCGCCGTTCGCAAGCAAAATGTTAGTTAGAACAAACCAGTTACATTAGAAAAATTAAATTGCTTTTGTTTGCCATATAATGAACATCTTATTAACCAAGCTTAGTCGGTATGTATGAGAGAATCTTGACCTCGGTCGTGTGTACAGACCTCACTGCGTTCGTTCTGTACTTACGACCTCGGTCAAGTTTCTCCCATACAGACCTCCTGCTCGGTTAATAAGAGCTAAGTATAAATCCAAATACGACACTCAGATGACCCCGCGAGGTCAGTTTTCCTGTGGGGCGGGAGCTGGCGCTCTGGCCTCGGATTATATGGTGTTACATTTTTGATCAAGTCACTCTTACAATACTTTACGTCACCTAGGAGCATAATGGAGCAAGTTGATTGTCAGGAACCCCAGACCCTTCTTTGCAAATTTGTGTTTTCCGCAGCCTCTAGAACAAACAAGCAAAACCAACCAACAAACAAACAAACAAACAAACAAACAAACTGGTTTTATAAATTTAAAAATGGTACAGGTTTCTCTAATTTCTATATCACCTTATCGAATTGAAGTTCACCTCCATGTTAAGAAACCGGAGCCTCTCGCCTGTTACCATAGTGACTAGGATAATGCAACGTTATTAAGTGGAAAGGAGGTTGCCCCTAGCATTTCATTTCCTCTAGAAACTGTCTTAACAATCCCTACTCTACTCGCTTTTAAATTATCACCTAGCCAGATTTCTTGTTATGCGCGTAAACTTTTTAAAGACTGACTGATTCAACAGTAGGAATTGAAGAAACTCGCTATTAACTACTTGTTAACCGAGAGCGAGGTCTTTACGGGAAAATCTCAAACCGACACTTTGCCGTACACGTATACGGCAATGCCGAGGTTTGAGATTTTCCCGCAAATACGGAGCGTTTGAGGTTAATAAGTTGTTTGTTATATGGCTTTTTGCTTTGATTTCGCAGGCCCGTTATCGGCCCGTAAACATTACGGGAGAATAATGCGCTAGAATTAGTCGATCAGAGCGTGCGTTATATCGGCTGCAAACATATGCCATATAATAAAAAAGCATAATAAACAGTGACAAAGTCCTAAGAGGTATAATTGAAGTAGAAAATTCCATTATTTTTGTCTTACATTTTCATAGGTTTGAGTGAGCTATATAGCAGTAGTAAACAGAATGTGACAAGCGGACCATTACAAATGATTTAAACCAGGACTACGGAAAAAAATATCAAATATACAAACAAACAAGCAAACAAAAGACATTGAGTGTGAGTTGTCGAGTGTCGATGCTGCCTAAAATTAATGCAGTTTCTGAGAACGGGATCGTGCAGTCAAACTCCGTTTATACAGAAAATTTACGGATAACGGAAAGCTTATTTCCGACAGCATGAAAACCTGTTGTTTCACTGCTCGTGGCCTGAGTCCGCAGTTTTGTAAGCTTTGCTTGGGTCAAACTCGTTCCCAGGCACCTATCTTTGACTCTCAAGAAGAGATAGGACCACAGGCTTGAGAATACAGTACAGCGTTTCGCTCGCGTTACGCAGAGTGTTTTTTTGTTCCTCTAAGCAGTGAACGTTTAAAAATGTTATCAAGCTACCCGTTAAATGCTAGCGTTAAAGCAATACTCTAAAAGTCAAAAATTTTATTTACCGTGCATGCATCTGCAGATAAATGCTTGAAAACATTTCGAGGAATACTTCGTATAACATAAAATAAAGGATTTTATGAAAAGGATTCACGAGATTTTTTCATCATGTAACAGATTACATAAAGTATCTTTCAATCCCCCGTAATGTAACCACAACCGTTAATTAACGTGTAATGCAATGTTATAACATAGCGTGTGTTATATGTGATGGTAGCGCTCCGGGCATAGTTGAGGACCGCAATAGGGTTTTCTTGCAGCAGAAAGACGTATCAAGCAAATGAATATACGGCAAAAGATACTTTAAAAGGCCTTTAGCATCGCCCCTTGATAATTACGTTACAATTTATTGTCAATTACTGTTGATTTTGGCTATTAACCTTTATGACGTCACGTTAAAGCTCAGTTTTCATTCGGAAATTTTCGCAGTCTCTTTTGCAGCGTTCATTTACCTTCGAGAATGACATGAGAGTGATTTGGATCGTTTTGGTTGCGTTCATATTTACCTTCCTTGCTCCAGGTAAGTTGAATCTTTGCGTTTTTACAAAGAGTTCCAAGTTACTTTCGCGTAAATTTTTGTTTTCCTGCGCTGCCGTCAGCTGGGGTGACTGAATTGGCGGGAATTTTCGACAAAAGTGGAAGTTCTAGAAGAGAAAATAAAAGTTTCCTCCAGCTTTGAAAAAAAAAAAAAAAAGCATGGACAGTGCTCTGGTCTGTTCTAAAGGCTTCAATTACTGAAAAAGTTTGTCTCAAGCTAAATTCTAAGGATACTGTTTGAATTGCGCGTTCGAAATACAACCGAAAACATGCATGCCAAAATCACCTCTCTTTGTTTGATGGAGAGATCAATGGCGTGACCACCAGGAAGTAACTTCTATTATTCGCTAATTCAATGAGTCGAGAACAGGTATCTTTCGGTAACGTTTATTCTCAGCGCTCAAAGAGATTCAAATGCGTAATTTCAAAACAGTCAGCAAGAACGCCAATCGCGAGCATTTGTGATTTCTCCTATTTGCGCGCTCTGGGAGTGGATTCTTCGGTTTCTTGGACGCACCATGATCCGAGAGATCCTGGATTGACCTGTTTAGTAGAGAAACGCAAAATCTGTTTTCGGATGCTTTCGGATTTAAGAAACCAATCTTGGATTTTCTTAAAGAAACGCAACCAAAGATTTGGGTCTTCACCAGTGATCCCTGGCGATCGACTTCCGGTTTAGTTTCGCGCCAAAATGTTCGCTACCAGGCTCTTTCGCATTTGACGCTCACGGACAATATGGCGGTTTTCTTGCATATGGTTCTTTCACAAAGCAAAATGTGGAGTTTTTGGTGTGGAACTCTAGGCCCAGAAATCTGTAATGTTAGCACCAGGTATGCTATTCTTCAACGTGCACGTGTAAATAACAGAAAGGTGAATTAATTGTTCGGATAACCTGCGATCGCTCGTCGAGTGCTCCATAATTTATCAAAAGATTCTTGATATTTTCGTGTGATGCTACCGTTTTTCATTTTGTTTTTCTCGGTTACTGAAACTAAATTTGGAGCGCACTGATTGTAACTTCAATACAAGACTTCGAATTGTTGATTTATTTTTCTAAATTTCTGAAATTTATCTTGTCAGTTCAACCCTTGTTCATTCCAAATTTGAACCTAACTTATTAAGCTTCGGCTTTTAAGGTTTTTTTTTTTTTAAATTGCTAGCCCACTGCAGATCATGATCACGGACGACAATATTTTACCCATTTATTCTGAAGACGCTGCGATTTGAAAATGAAATTTAAAGACCTTGAAAGTCAAGCTTAATAGGCCATGTTCCATATATGAATATTCTAACATGCTACTTCGGCTCTCTCACTGGAAGACTTGATTTCTAGTTTTGATTAGTGTTATTGTTAGTGAGACTATGAACGTTAAAATATCATTTTATTAGAACTGATAAGACTCAAAGTGATTAAAACAAAAATTGTTTCAAGCACTAGATTTATTACAATCCATGTGACAGGTTTATATTGTCCAGCTGTAGTAGTAGGATAACCTTATGGGTTTGTGTAAATTTGTGTAGCGTTAGGGTCACCTACTTCCTTGAAAACTAGGCCTACTAAAAAGTCGTTATTAAGTCTGTCAATCAAGGCCATATCCACTAACACCTGCCACAGTTGAGTATGTTTGACAAGCCCTTGATTTTACAGTTGAACTTGCCTTATAGTTAATACAATTCTCTTAAGAAGATCAGAATGAATTCGTCGGTTCTTTTGATGTGTCATGATCCGAGGATCTTGGATCACTAATCCTGATCAAGATCGAGGGGGAGGGGGGATACTCCTTGTAAAATTTGATAGGGGTGTGCAGCCCACTTCCCAAAACCCTGATGCTATTTGTGACCAAAATCTGCGATTTTCCCTACCCTATTTATGACCAGACCAAAAATTGATACTCTATTTATGACTATTGCAGCGGACACAGTTACCCTAAACATAATTTTTGATGTGCTTTTGTTTTTTATGGTGTAATCGATAATGATGAAAAAGTAGTTTACTCTACAAAACATACTGAATTCAAGACTAGAGTACAAAAACCATACCCTATTTTAAAAGACCAAAAGGGCTAAATCAATACCCTATTTATGACCAAAACAGCTGAAATGCTGTACCCTCTGGGGCCTCACATACTTATATAGCCCATAAAGGGAGTACCCTCTCCCCTACCCCAGGTCAAGATCACCCCAAAGGAATATGCCCAAGTCAGAGCTATTACTTTAAGAAATGAAATAAAGTATGTTGTGATAAGGCCATGGTATAAACATGATCCACAAACACAGACAGACAGTTTAAGTGACTGAAAGAATTAAGGAGAAGAAAGTTGCTGGCAGCAACCCTGTAAATTCACAAATGTTTTTCCTCTCTGTCCCTCTGAAAGTTCATCCATGAATTGAAGAATGGAATTTATAAACACAAAATGTATTTCCAGCACATGAACTGAGTGCTAAAATTATTGATTTATACACATTGCTGGCTATGATGTTGATGAAGGAAAGGATTTAAGTTTGATTCAATTAACTGCATTGATACTCTTACTGTTAACAGAAATATCTACTTATGTTTTGTTTTCCTAGGGAATTCTATACCATCAAGAAATCCCAAAGTGGCAAATATTTCTCCCAGGCTACCTTCAGACTCTGTCAAGCACAGACCTGAGGGGACCAAAGATAATGTTATTGGATCTGGCTCATATGTCAATGACAAACCATCTTCTAATACCTCAACTTGGGCGACTCAAAAGGGCAAAGAGTTGTTCATGTCAAGTGAATTGAACAAACTGCTGAAGCTCAAGCACATCCATTTGCAAAAACATTTTTCCAAGAAAGATGCACATCTTCTGAAATCGAGACCAAGCCTACTGGCTTCTTTTAATAAGGAACTAAAGGATGCCAGACGTCATTCTCCTAAAGTGAGAGATGCTCATTTACATGGATTACCAAAGTCCATACATGGGACTACTATGAATGCAAACAAACAGGGTCCAGAGATCCATGACCAAGTGAGTAACAGCGCGCCTGAAGATATGGAGCTTCGATCAGACACAGATAATCTGTCATCGGACACTGAGTGGAGCTCCACTGCACCTGAAGATGTGGGCCTTGAATCAGAAGCAGATAAAGTGCCATTATCATTCATTGAGTGGGACGCTGGATCACCTCAAACTCATGAGCCTGAATTGAAGCACAATGTATTTTCATCACCAGGTATTGAGTCAGATACTGGGGTAGCTCCAGGAGCAGCGGAATCCAAAGTAATGCCATCGGAACGATCTCAATCATCCTCTCAAGATAACCCAGAATCTGTGCCATCGGTGGAAGCCCCTGAACAGGACACAGCTGAAAAAGAGAAATTGAAATTGCCCATAAAACTTCCCAATACTGTTGTTATGAAAGAGCTTCCCTCCAAAGGCAAGGAATTTGAGACAAAAAACGCGAATTATTTGTCAATGAATATCTCAAAGAAGGTAGCAAAAACGCCAGCATCATCTGGTTCTCACTGGAGTGGTATCCCCATGCCTCATGGGAAAAATGGTAATTTAAATCTCAATATTAGATTGGAGTCACTTGGTAATCAGGGTGTTCATACCAAGAAAGGAAAAAGCAAAAGGTCAGAAAAGGAAAGTGGAGGAGAAATCGTTAGGGTTCTAAATATATCATTCGTCTTTGGAGGACTGTTGGTGGTATTAATGATGGCTGCCTTTTTCGCTTTTGCTTGGTAAGTTAAAACTATGTACATTAATGTTTAATTTCTATACTTTTGTTTGGATGTTATAAGCATGTAGCTGTTACCACCACGAGCTACACATATCCAGTGCCTTCAGTATTTAACACAATAAATCAAAATTTAATGTGGCTAAATATGATTTAGGCAAAGTTAGACTCAAACCAATGCAGTCAGCAGTTTCCCCTTTTACGGTACATGACTTGCGGGGCAGCCCTTTGGAGATTTGCAGGGCTGTTGTCTCACATTGCATTGCACATATTGTGCTGCCAGCTGATCGTTGCGGATCATTTGCTTGTACTTTGGCGAATCTTTGCGGATTCTCGCCCCTTCCCGTCCCTCCCTCTTGGTTGCTGGTCTCTAGGTAAGTACGGGTCAGGTAAGTTGTTTCCACTGATTCAATCAGTGTGACGGTGCCAGTTAGCGGCTGCTTTTGGGGGTGGTTCCCGCTTCCAGGGTTGCCATGGATACCTCCCCTTCCGCATACGGCTTCTGCCCTCCGCTAACCTTTCAGGCACCAGTTCCCAAGCTCATCTATTTGTGATGAGTTTAATTCTGCTAAAATTCATCCTACATCAGTTAGGATTCACAGGCATCGCTATTCTTGGGGTCTCAAAAGTCTTGACCTGAAGCAAAATGTTTCCCTGGGGAGCCCTGCCACCTAGGTAATCAGCTAGCCTGCATATACAGCCGCCTCTCATTCGTAGTAGCGGGAGCGAATGAGAGGCGGCTTTATTCATAGGCTAGTAATCAGCTTACACAGGTATTATTACAAAGTAAAATTAATGTCTTCAATAGACTTAATTAATGCATTGTTATTTTTTGCTCAGGCCACTGAGAAAATATTATCAAAAGTTATCCCAGCGACTGAATGAGAGAGAGGTGGAATCTGGCCTGGGTGATGGCAATGTGCGAGTGGATAGAAACCAACCTCCAGTGAGTCGATCTCAGCGTTACCACTCACCCTGTCAGCAGGAACCAACGTCAGAGTCTTATCAAAATCCAGGTACAAAAACATTTTTTAATCAATACATGTAGGTTAGGTTGCATTATATGTTTCCTTTTGGGCTTACTTATTGGTCTTATTGGGCTTATTCGTCAATCTACTTTCATTTACAAGACTCTTCAGTATCTCAGGGTACCTGTAATTTACCTTGTAATGTGCTGAAGAAGTCGGAGTCAAAGCAGTCGAAGGGTGCTATTTCACCCTTTACTTTTGCGCTCTTGTTACTTCCCCGTGTACTTTGCACACAGAACAAAGACATGTACGGAACAAAACACGGTCAATCCTGTTTTGTTTTATTTTTTTGTTTAGTTTGGGTGATCTCATTCCTTAAAACAGTAATGAAGATTCAATGAATCTTCAATCTACTATAGGAGTCGTGTGAAAAATTGCTCAAAGAATAGGAATACATCAATTAGAGTGACTAACGAACTACTTAATTAACTGACGTACAATTAAAAACCCATATAATAAAACTCTCTTTAATTTATAGTGTATTAAAAGTAATCTTTCCCATTGAATGAGGTTTTAAAAACATGTTAACTAGGCAGGGTTTGATTTCCGAGGGAATTTTGTTCCGTAGAACAGACCTTCTGTAGGGTAAGCTTCCTTTGGCATACTCAGTTCGTGGTCTGGGACATAGCAATTTATAATTTATGTTTACACGCGAGTAATTTATTCTTTTACTGCTACTTTACTCCACTGTACCAGTTGGAGAAAATCAGACTGATATTTCACCCTACTCTTCTTTTGTACTCTTGTTACTCCTTCGCGTGTTTTTTAATCAGAACAAAAGAGATACACAGAACAAAGCTCGGTCAATCCTGTTTGTTGTTGTTGTTGTTGTTGTTGTTGTTGTTTGTTGTTTTGTGTTTTGTTTTGTTTTGTTTTGTTTTGTTAATTTTGGTTAATTCATCTCATTCGTTAGAACAGTGAAAAAGATTCAATCAATCATCAATTTTTTTTTTTTATGGCAGGAAATAGTGGCAATGTGTCTGTGAGTGACAGGCGGGCCTACTTCCGTGGAGGGGTGCAAGCTTATCAAACCACAAGCGCGCCCAAGAAGAGCAAGAAAAAGACAAAGGATGAAGTTATTTCTGACGACAAGAAGAGGGACCCTCGAAATGTGGAAAGGAGGAAGATAATCAAACAGCAAACTTCCCAAAGAAGAGCCTCGCTTGCTGACAGCATCGCTATTGCCAAATCAGTTATCGATGGGCATTCAAAGAACAGACAGTTCGAGAAGAAGGCCTCTGAAAGGCGGCGTGTGATCAAACAATCGACGTCTGCCCCTGGGTCATCAACTGGAGAGAAACCACGGTGCATGTCTTTTTTCCAAGAGCTGGAAACCGCTTGTTCGGTGATATTGCCAGGCGCTGATCACCAAAAGAGTGTGGAAAGGTCAAAGGACAGACGTCGCACAATTAAGGATCGCTCTGACGGAAAGAGGCGGAGATCACTGGCAGAGGAGATTGAAGATGCTAAGAAAGTTATTGTGGATAGTAAGAGGAAGTACGAAACATCACCTGCTGTAGTGGATGAGGTCAGAGATCAAAATGCAATTTCTCTTTTCAATACCAATACAGTCATACACCCACCAAAAAAGGGGACACTCCCGGACGGGGGGTGGGGGTGGGGACTTTGTTAGTCTTTGTGTTGGGGTGTGCCGCTGGCACACTGAAACTCTTACTATCGTAGTCCAACATACGCTAACTTAACTGATATCTTATGTAGGCACTTACAAGTTCAATTTCCGTTATGGACCCCGGGTAAAGAATCCTGTTCTACACTAAATTCTTTATACTAAGCCTCTGGCCAATTCCCCGGTAAATTATACTCTATTCTAAACCAAAACTGTCTGACTTCTGGGGGTCGTCTAGGAAATGACGTTTTTTTCGTTTTTCCGAAGTTTTGGAGGAAAATTTTGATGCAAATAGAAAATTAAATTCCTGAGAAGTCCAAACGAAGGACATTTACGGTTTCTTGACTTTTAAAAAAGTTGAAATTATTGAAAATACTGATGCGCGCGCGCACACACAACTTCAATTTTAAATGACAATTCAATCCGAGCGATCTTTTTCAGGCGGAAAGTTAAATAATACATCAAGAAAAAACTGGAAATCGTTATTTGAAGTAAATTTTAGTACGAATTCTATTAAAACAATTAGATTATTCGCTCTCGATTTCTATGAGGTGATAGTTGAATCGGCCTTCGGCCTCATCAACTATCACCTCATAGAAATCTCGAGTTCATAATCTAATTGTCAAGTAGATAGTAAGTGGCCTAGCAGTGTGCGGTTGTTAACGAAATAGCGGCCGCTTCTTTTCGTTTTGACAAGTGGTAGTTTTATCTAAAACAATTAAGTTGTTCGCTCTTGATTTCTGTGCATGATAGGAATCTCGAAGTCACAAGTAATTGTTAAATGGAAGTATGGCTTTCAGCATGCGCTCAACACCAGCTGTTTTATGCTAGCATCCAATTGACAAAAGCTTCCAGCCCAATTCACAATTTTCCTACTTTTTTTTCAACAATGACAGGCGATGCTTGTTGGACAAAGGCCACGTAGTTGGGCGACCTACAGCTATACTGATATACTCGACCTTCTTCCCCACTTCAAAGGTAAGCGGCCTGATCCAGAGGCATATGATGCTAAAAATGCTGCCCAGAGTGGTATGTATATATCTATATAACCTTTATTTACCCTCGGCAATGTTTATAGAACAAGTGCTAGTGGGGTCGAGCAAACAACTGAAACAAGTAATTCAAATTGGACATAACATTGGTGATGTTGACAAGTCTACAAGGTGATCAGTTTATTGTTATGACTCATTCGCGACTGGTGCGGTGGTCCAGTTGTTATGTCATGAATTGTTAGGATCTAGAGATCGTTGTTTAAGCCCCGGCTGGCGATTAACGCGTTGCGTTTTTAAACAAAATACTTCTCTCTGTCATAGCGACTCTCTCTACTCCAGAGTGTTATTAGAACTCGCAATACCTGCCGATCAACATCTTAATCGCAGCCGCCTACATTTGAACAGAACTGGGACCTCTTTTTAGTCAGAATTTTATTTCGTATATTAATGGTCAGTAGGAGTTTGTCGTAGGGTAGTCCGAGGACATCGAGAGCTCCGTGCTGATAGGTGAAAACCGTAGGTTTAATTTTTTTTTTTTTTAATCGAGGCCTCTATTAACAGTTTAAGGGTTCATATTGAAATTCTAGCCATCAATGAATCGAAATTAGATAATGCAATTAACGACCATGAAGTCTATATACCGGGTTTTGAAATTGTTCGGCGAGACAGACAAATTAACGGTCGAAAAGGTGGCGGGGCCTGCTTTTGCCTGTGCAGTAACCTTAATTTTAAAGGATGCGAGGAGCTTATAATTGATAGGCTCGAATGTTTAACTGTCGAAATAAGTAAACCCCACTCTTGGCCATTTCTGGTTAGTACCTGGTATAAACCTCCCACCTCTCCTCCTGAATTGTTTAACGACTTTGAAAATTTAATTGGAAGAATTGATGGTTCTAACCGAGAGCTCTATCTTGTCGGTGATATTAATACAAACCAGTTACCAGGTGTCGCAGATAGCAACTCTTCCAAACTCATCAATGTTTGAGAGATTTTTGGTCTTAGTCAACTGATTACGTAGCCAACGAGAGTAACAGCCCATTCTCAGCCCCTAATTGACCTATGCATAACTAATACTCCAGACCGTAAAATACAGTGGAACCCCGTTAATCCGGTCACCAACGAGCCACAAAAGTCTGGCCGTATTAACGGGGTGGCCGTATTAAAGGGGGTTATTTAAATAAGAAAATGACTGAAAGGGCTTTTATTCGGGACAGAATAAAGTGGCCGTAATAACGGTGCACGTAAGGCGGGGTTCCACCGTAGTTAGATCATCTAATTCGCAAAACAGATTACACCATGCCCGGGTGTGTTAAGATTATCAGTACTCGAAGTTTTAAAAATTTCATTAAGGAGGAGTTTCTAGTGGACCTTGAATTAAGACAATCAAATGCCATTGGTATATTCTCTGACCCCAACGAAATGTGGGAGGTTTGGAAGAATCAGTTTCTGACCTGTATCAGTAAACATGCCCTTTGAAATCGAAAAAAAATTGGAAACAAGAACTCCCCGTGGATTACGTATGAGTTAATTTCCGTTATTTCTTGACTTTTTAAGAAAATAGTAAAATCTAAGATGGCGGAACCAAGAAGGCGGGTCACAGTGACATCATAACCAACAAAAATGGTATCAACTTGTAGAGCAAGCTCGGGGTTATCTAATCAATGTCAATTTATTTCACTGTGCCTTAACAGAAGGAAAACCCAAAGGGGGATCCATCAACCCCCGCCTCGCCTTTGTACCACGGTGGGGGTATGAGTTAGCTTGTGCGTCCGAGGGATAATGTTTCAACCGTGTTGGTCTTGGTCTCAAATAGGGTATGTTTTTTGCACTCTAGTCTTGAATTGGTTATGCGGAGGTCAATAAGGAGGAGTTTCCAGTGGACATTGAACTAAGACAATGGCATGCCATGAGTATATTCTCTGACCCCAACGAAATGTGGGAGGTTTGTAAAAATCAGTTTCCGACCTGTATCGATTAAAAAAGAATTGGAAACAAGAAGTCCCCGTGGATTACGTATGAGTTAACACTTAACATGAGTAAAAGGGACGGACTTCCTGACAAAGAAGGCGGAACGAACTAGAAATCCGTCTTGCTGGGCTGATTTTAAAGCAGCGAGAAATGAAATGAACAAATTATTCAATTAAATATGCCAAACGTAATTACTTTAGCGATAACCTTGCTGCTAACAGAAAAGATCCCCGTAAAACTTGGCAGCTAATTAATGAGCTGAGCTCTCGTCAACATATGAAGAAAGTTATTGCTGATATTGAAATCGGGGACATGAAAATTAGCTCTGTATCTGAAATGGCGGAAACCTCTAACTGCCATTTCGTAAACATTAGACATGAATTGGCAAGAGACAGTTCCAAAGTTATCTTATCTCAACAAACACGACTTTCTCTTTCAAAAGTTGTAGCTCCAGTGAAGTCCGAACTGGAAACTAAGAAAGCGACTGGATTGGATAATTTGTCATCCAAGATGCTTAAAATGGCGGCCGGTGTTCTGGCTCCATCCCTGGCGTCCTTGTTTAATCAGTCGATTTCCTCTGGTATTGTTCCAACTGAATGGAAGTTAGCTAGAGTGACGCCAATTTTCAAAAAGGGTAAAAGACAAGACGTTATAACAACTACTGGCCAATCTCGATTATTCCTGCTGTCGCTAAGGTGTTCGAAAGAATAATTTACGACCAATTTCACAAGTATCTCAATGATAACGATCTCTTAGCCAACTGTCAGTCCGGCTTTAGATCACTTCACAGCACACTAACGTCCTTGATTGAAGCTTCCAACAGTTGGTCTGTCAATATTGGCAACGGTCTTACAAATGGTATAATATTCATATTAGATTTTAGAAAAGGCTTTCGACACCATTGACCATAAGATTATTTTACGAAAGCTAGCTAGCTATGGCAATGAACAAGGGGCCCTAAAGTGGTTTGACTCCTATCTAAGCGATCATCAACAAAAGTGTCTAGTTTATGTTGAGCTGTCTGGTGCACGTACTGTCACCTGTGGTGTCCCACAGGGAAGCCTTATTGGTCCCCCTCTTTTCCTGATTTATATTAACGACCGAAGGGCCTGAGTAAAGCCTTACCACGAATGTACGCCGACGACACAAGTATCAGCATCGCCGCCAGTAGCTTACCAGAGCTTGAATCAGCACTGAACACTGAACTAGTTAAACTTCATGAATGGCTTAATGTAAATAAGCTTAGCCTGAATATTGCTAAAACCGAACTAATGTTAATAGGCTCACGTCAGAGACTTGATACTACATGTACCATTCGCCTTTCACTTACTATACAAATTGAAGGTCGCGAAATTGATAGAGTGCTCCACACCAAATCCTTAGGAGTCTACATCGATTAAAATCTGTCGTGGTCCAAACATGTTAATGAGACTGCCAAGGTTATGTCCTCTAGTATAGGTGCACTTAAAAGGTTTAGACCGTTCATTTGCGAAGATACAGCTATATAGAGCTGTTATCGAACCATATTTCGATTATTGCTGTCCTGTGTGGGACGTTCTCAACAACGTGTTAGCCGACAAATTACAAGAACTACAAAATTGCGTCTGATTACTATTCTAGCGCTACCGCCCTCCGCGGTAAGCTAGGACGGATAATTTCAATATCAGAAGGAAAAAGCAGAAATTGAAATTAATGTTTAAAACTTTGAACGGTCAGTCTCTGGAGTACCTGAAAGGCATATTTCAACCCTTCAGCACGCACTATGGACTCAGAAATATTGAAAACAGATTGGCTCTGCCTAAGCCCCATGCCGATTTTTTGAAACGTAGTTTCTGCTACAGTTGGGGCACATTTGTGGAATAGCCTTCCATCTAACGTCAGAGCCATTAGATCTTTTATTAACTTTAGAAATGAGACAATATAAATCGCCAACTGTACTCTTCGTACTCCAATACGGCAAACATGTAAATCAGTTTGTTTTTTTTTTAATCTCAATCTTGTAACTGATGTTTTTACCGTGTCTAAATAAAGTGTATGTCTATGTCTACATGTCTACCGTTGTGCAACAATAGTTGTGGAGGGGTGGGGGAGTGGGGGTCTCATCTTGCTTTGGGGATAGCAGTACTTCTGTTTACTTTATTAGTTACCGAATGAAAACTAAAGAAGTGCCAGGCAGACAGAAAATTCACCATCTTTATTAACTTATCAGTGCCAGACAGTGTTAGCCAATAATTTGTTTTTTGTTGTAAATGTTTGTAGTG